GAAGGTGCAGAAAAAGAGAATCTACCCCAGGGGGTACCACACGCGCTCGCGGTGGAGAATCCCCCTCTGGGCGTCCAACACCGGGACATTCAGCACCCGGTGGTGGACGCACAGGCTGCCCTTCGTATTCTGGGGGGCAATTCTGCGCTCAACATCAAAAACAGTTATCGTTCTCGGGGCAAACGGAGCAACTCAACAAAGGCACCCCCGTCCACGCTCGCTGTGGACTTCACAAATGTTAGGGGGCTCAATTCTAATATCAACGCAGTCCACTACCATTTAGAGACTGCGAAGCCGGCCTTGCTCTTTCTTACCGAGACTCAGATTTCCTCCCCGGCTGATACTTCCTACCTCTCCTACCCGGGGTACAAATTGGAACATTCATTTGTGCCGCGGGCGGGAGTTTGCGTGTACGTCAGAGAGGATATCTGTTCTCGTCGCCTCGGGACGCTTGAAGGAAGGGACCTATCTAACCTCTGGCTGCGCGTAGACTGCGATGACCATCCGCGATTCTATGCATGCCTGTATAGGTCCCATAGCGGAAATACCGAAACTGACCGACTCATTGAGCACATCCAAATGGCTACAGATTCCCTGCTCGAAAGGGTTCCTACCGCTGAAATCGTGATACTTGGCGATTTTAACGCCCACCATGCCGATTGGCTCGGCTCAGAAACCACCGATCATGCGGGAAGATCCTTTCACGACTTTGCTTTGGCTTATGACTTGACGCAACTGGTCCCTGCGATTACGCGAATACCAGATGTGGATGGTCATAAACCCTCTTTGTTGGACCTTCTGCTGACTTCACATCCGGAGAACTACCAAGTCTCTGTTGAACCGCCATTGGGTTCATCAGATCATTGTGTGGTCCGGAGCATTGTGCCGTTCACGCGCCTTCTTCGGCCTAGCTTCACGGGCTGTCGCCGCGTGTGGCACTATAAGTCAGCAGATTGGGATGGGATGCGGTCTTTTTTGCGTCCTACCCTTGGGGGCCCATTTGCTTTTCGTCGAGTACTCCAGATGCCGTCGCTGACTCTGTCGCCGAGGTGGTCCTGCAGGGTATGGAACTCTTTATTCCATTCTCTGCGGTGCCGGTCGGTGGCAAGTCCCAGCCTTGGTTTAGGCGTTCCTGCAAAGCGGCTTTGCGCCGTAAGCGTGAATGCTTTAAAGCCTGGGCAGAAGCGGTGACATCCTGTGATGTGACTATCGGCGAACGTAAAAAAGCATACAATTCAGCCTCCAGGTCCTTCAAGCGAGAAATCGCTAAAGCAAAGTCAGAGCACATTGCCAGATTTGGTGAGAAATTGGCCCACCTCCCTTCGGGAACTCGAGCCTTCTGGTCTCTTGCCAAAGCTGTCCAAGGGAATTTCTGTCAGCCCTCAATTCCACCACTGCATAGGGAGGATGACTCACTTGCCCATACCGCGAAAGAGAAGGCCGATCTTCTAGGCTGTCTCTTTGCGTCGAACTCCACTTTGGATGATCAAGGGAAGGAACCACCGACATTATTGCGGTGTGATACTACGATGCCCGAAGTTATATTCCGGCAACGTGCTATCCGTAAAGCTTTGTCTTCCTTGGACATCCATAAGTCGAGCGGGCCTGATGGCATCCCTCCAATTGTGCTGCGTACTTGTGCTCCTGAGTTGGCTCCGGTCCTAACGCGCCTTTTCCGGTACCTTTACACGCTCGGCACTGTTCCGAAGTGCTGGAAGATCGCTTCGATACATCCGATCCCTAAAAAAGGCGATCGCTCTGATCCGTCCAACTATCGCCCAATAGCTATAACCTCCTTGTTCTCCAAAATAATGGAAACCATTATTAACAGCCAGCTCTTGAGGTATCTAGAGGGCCACCAGCTGATTAGCGATTCTCAGTACGGCTTCCGTCGTGGTCGCTCGGCTGGTGACCTCCTTGTATACCTTACACATAGGTGGGCAGAGGCAATTGAGTCCAAGGGGGAGGCGCTGGCGGTAAGTTTGGACATAGCGAAAGCCTTCGATCGGGTGTGGCACAGAGCACTGCTCTCGAAGCTTCCAGCCTATGGGCTCCCTGAGAAATTATGCAACTGGATTTCCAGCTTTCTCGCTGATCGGAGCATCAAAGTCGTCATCGACGGAGCATGCTCCGACCTGAAACCTGTGAATGCTGGTGTCCCACAAGGCTGTGTCCTATCCCCGACCCTGTTTATTCTGCATATCAATGATATGTTGCAGCTTAGCAACATTCATTGCTATGCGGACGACAGCACTGGGGATACTTTTTACACTGGCCGGGCAGGTATTTCTCGGGCTGTTGTCGATGAGTACCGGAACAAACTTGTGTCTGAACTCGAAACTCTTCTACGTGGAGTCTCGGACTGGGGTAGACTAAATCTAGTCCAATTTAACCCCAAGAAGACACAAGTATGCGCGTTTTCCGCTAAAAAAACTCCCTTTGTCGCTACTCCCCTCTTTGAAGACACTCTCCTTAAAGCCTCAGCTAGCATCGGAATACTGGGCGTTGACATATCGAATAACGTTCAGTTTCGCGGTCATCTGGAAGGAAAGGCTAAATTAGCCTCCAAAAAGCTTGGTGTGCTCAGCAAGGCGAGACGGTACTTCACTCCGGGCCACCGCTTGCAACTATATAAAGCGCAAATTCGGCCCCATATGGAGTACTGCTCTCACCTCTGGGCGGGAGCTCCCCAGTACCAGCTCCTTCCACTTGACCGTATTCAACGAAGAGCGGTTCGAATCGTCGACGACCAGTCACTTTCCGTGCGGCTTGATCCCTTGGCGTTGCGTAGAGATGTGGGATCTCTCTGCATCTTCTACCGCATTTACCATGGAGAGTGTTCAGAGGAGTTGTTCGGTCTAATACCTGCAGCTGAGTTTCATCATCGGACGTCAAGGCAAAATACAAAATACCATCCGTATCACCTCGACGTCCGTCGTTCCACAACAGAGCGTTTTCTAAGGCAGTTTTTGCCGCGCACCACCACTATGTGGAACCAGCTGCCCACAGAAGTATTTCCGAACCAATTCGACTTAGGGTCCTTCAAGAAAAGAGCGTACCAATTCCTGAAAGGCCGGCAACGCACTTGCGAGCCTTCTGGCATTGTGAGTGTCCATGGGCGGCGGTATCACTTAACATCAGGTGAGCCTCCTGCCCGTTTGCCTCCTATTACATAAAAAAAAAAAAAAATTCAAAGGCTTGGCTAAACGGTGACACCTAGCAGGATTTCGTCTGCGGTTTAAGGTCAAGAACTAGTAGTTCTAAGACGCAATCCAAGCAAGTAATTTGTTAGATTTAAAACATAACAAACCGGCACTATACTGAAAATATGTAAGAATGGTTTTTCTTCTTCCACTTACACAGGTAACAGGTACACAGTAGGAAATATTATTAAACTTGAAACTTTTCACCTGCTTCTTGGGCCAGACCAAACCGTAAAAGATAGAGTTAGGGTGTTTTAGCAAAAGTTGTCGAGAACCTTGAGCAAGAAAAAATTAAATGCAATACATGAACTGTACTCAGATAATTTTGAAGAAATCGTAAATAGGCATACACAAGTATATTGATAATAAGAAAAAACACAACCACAATAATGATAATCTAAGAAAAACTGATAATATATAATGCATGCATAAAACTTAGACTACACAGAAATAGCTTATTGACATAGAGATTCAATATTAACCATTATCATAAATGTATGTTAATGGTCTCTAAAATACAGGAACTTGTTAAGTTAAATTAGTCAACAAGACATTAAACTAGGCACAAAATGTATCTTATAAACATGAGGGATAAAAGATAGCCAAATTTAAATTTTAGGTTAACAGATGCAATTAAAGTTTGGGTCATGGAATGGGAGCGTTTAATTTAATTAGACTTAGTTTGTTTGAAACTTTTTTGGACAGCTAAAATTTCAATTTACCTGAATATTCAATGTGGGCATTGTGTTTATTTATAAGGTTACACAGAAGTTATTTCATGGGGAATGGAGTATTATTAATAATAAAAAAATTATTGTGTATTCTTTTCCAAAATTAAATATCTTGCACTCTTCATAAATAATTTAGACTTAAAGTGCAATTGTAAAAAACAATTCAATTAGACAATAAAGTTCTGTTTTGTTTACTAAAAATAATTAACACACCTCACAGAGAAACTCTCAATTTAAACATTTTATTTATCAGCCACAATCTCTGAGACCAAGAGATATAAATATAAAAATTCATGCCATTCCTAAGACTAAATACTTAGGCTAACAATAATTCAACTTTCTAAAAAGTGTACTAGGGAATACAACTGTCATACTAAGATAAATTAGTTAGCAGAAGTTTTACTATCACATACATCTAGGTCATCAAACAGGATTAAAATAAAATAAATTGCTTCTATTTATGTTGTTACCATACTCTTCCTTTTACCTCTACCACACGTTTCGGCCTGACTACCACAAAATATATTACAAAAACTATAATAAAATAAACAAATAAGTAACTTATTTTCTTTTATTTAGATGGTAAACTTATGGTTAAGTGCACTTAGCACAAACCTGCTATACAGATGATACATTTTTAGAGTATTTTTTTAAGAATTCTGTTGCATTAAAAATTGTGTCTGCTATAATTAATAATTGTAATTTATAGAATTAGGTTCCCCTTTCTATTTACATACACAGTGTACTGTGTGAATGCATTGTAATGTGTGCATACCAGTTATGCTTTCACTTCATATGAATCATGTTTCCTTTCAATATCTGACCAATGTGTTCTTTAAATTTGACATAACACTTAAAAAGAAATACCTGATAAGGCAACTCACAATAGTGATTGGGTATTCCAATAGTAAAACGCATAATTGTTACAGGTTAATAAGTAGTCAGTCTGTAATGCTTCACTATGTAAACCACATCATAATTATTAGATTGAAATCTACATCCATTATAGGTTTTGAGATATCTACATGTTAAACCTGTTAAGATTGCATAAACATTAAAATTATACTCACGGCTCGGCTTCTATCGACTGCAAACGAGCGACATAGTTTGAGGGAATGTAACCTTCTTGTTTTGTTTTCTTGCTTCTGGCTAACCACCAGTCACCTTGTGTATCATTAAGAATTTCTAAATGTTCACCCTTTCTAAAACTAAGGTCCTCATCGGTTCTGGCATCGTAGTCGTAAAGGGCAACAAATATTCGGGTGGGAGCGACCTCGCTAGTATCAGGGCCCTGATTCACAACAGATCTTATCGGATCCGGAGGAGGAGTAGGCACCGGTGTTTGAAATTGTCTTGGATCCTCTTCATGGGTATTCACCCGTTCATTTTTGTTTTTAGAATCCTTTTCTCCTGCACTACTAAAACAGTTCCCCATTTTCTCTTTACAAGGTGAGGCTCGTGCCACTTGTTTTACGTCAAATCACACACTTGTATGATCCTAAATATACGATTAAAACTATTACGTCCATAAACATTTTATTATGTCACTTAAGAGTCAAAAAATACAAATGGGAAACATATTTTCAACATAAACAAAGAATGCAGTTTCCCGACAAGACATAACTATAGGCCGCCATTTTAATATACCATAGACAAGATATTACATTTCTATGCAATGTCTTGGTGACAATTCACAGTATCAATCAATCAAAAACTATAAAAAAAACTAAATTGTAAATGTGTATTTTTCAAATTTTAGTTTTTAATATTTTCGTAAAATTAATCTATAAAAACTTTATGTCCAGTGCTGTTTGTGTCAAGGGTAAACGACGTTTTAATAATTTACCGATTACAATAGTAGTATAAGGAAAAAGTTTAACTAATTTTAACGACCTCTCTGTTAACATATGAAAACTGATAATTTAAAACGAACCCGTTAAAATTAGCAGAAAATGAAAATGATTAAGAAGCGGTACGCATTGTCGTGAATAGATGGCGCTGAAATCTCAAAAGTTTTTTTTTGTAATAAAAATTATAATTCTGCAAAGAAAAAAATAATGGGGTACTGTTCTCATCTCTGGGTGGGAGTTCTCCAGTCACCAGCACCTTCCAATTATCAGTATTCGTCGACTACCAGTCACTTTCCGAGCGGCTTGTAATACCTGTAGTTAGTTTTTAGTTTCATCATTGGACGTCGAGGAAGAATATAAAACATCGTGAATTTTGTAAACGTTGTTGACATTCATAAGCATGCTCTAAGAAGCATCTAAATTGAATAAACGTATTTTGATTTTGATACGATTTAACGTGATACCACCTCGATGTCCATCGTTTCACAACTGAGCATTATTTAAGGAAGGTTTTGCCGCGCACCACCACTATGTGGAACCGGCTACCCGCTGAAGTATTTCCGGAAAAGTTCGACTTACGGTCCTTCTAGAAAAGAGCTTAAAAGTTAAAAGGCCGGCAACGCAACTTGCGTTGATTGTCGCACATTTTGGATGTAAGATTTTGTGAAATAATTGGTATATTTAGGACTGTGTGTGATGTCGTGGGCTTGATAACTAAATAAATAAATAAATAAATAAAACGCACTTGCGAGCCTTCTTGCAGTGTAAATGTCTACGGGAAGCGGAAATCACTAAAATTAAGTAACTATTGAAAGCATAATATAGTAATCAATTACTGTAATAATTGTCGTTGAGAATTGGGTTTCAGATCGGCCCATTGTTTTTCGACATAGCGAATGTGTTCGATAAGGTTTGTCACAAGGACTTGGTTTTGAAGCTCTGCTACTTTCATGTAGAACTCTCTCGTCCCCACGTCCCATTAGAGCCAGAATCCCTCAAGGTTCCACCCTCACGCTCTACTAACGCTGTTCACTAGCACCATTCTAAGATCTCCCAATGTACAGTTTGATTTTTACACCGATGATACCACTCTTTATACCAGCCTTAAGACTGACATAATATCGATCGCTTTGATTCGTCCAACTATCGCCCAATAGATGTGACCTCCTTGTTCACCAAAATAATGGAAACCATTAATAACGGCCACCTCCTCAGGTACCACCGATAGCGAGCCATATCGGTATGGCTTTCGTCGTGGTCGCTCAGCGGTGTCTTTCTGTACATCTTAGGTGCTAACGTGTATTTTAGATAATTCGAAAGCCTTCGATCGGGTGTGGTATAAAGCGCTTCTCTAGAAGCTTCTAGTCTATGGGATCCCGGAGAGAGAAAAAAGGTAAGTGGTTCCGGAAATGAGAAATCCAGATAAATCCCGACAATAGCGTGACAGTTCTCTTTGATAGGGGCGACTTCGCTCACAATCTGGAAAAATATCGTCTAACGAAAGAGGAATAACTATACGGGCAAACTCTCCCGTTGCAATGTCTATGAGCATCTGCGACCATTAAAACATTTTAAATAAGCATTGTATTTAAATAAAAGTTATGAATAAATAAGAAAGAACCAAACGTTTCACATATTATAACAGTAAGGAGTGATGAAATAGGAGCTCTTACATTGTTGTGGGAACAACACGCAAACACACACATATAAAGGTGAATCAAAGGAACGTAGCGTCTATACCAGCCATGAGCCCCCTTGGTATAGACGCTAGCATAGTCTTCACGCATTGAGCACGCGTTTCCACCGACAGTATGCATTCCAGATGCGATTCACGGAAATTCCGACCGGTGCGCCAGAAATATACTTACGGAACATAGATCTCCAACTGTGGACTCCAAATGCCACTTTGACAAGGCCAACCCATCCCCACCAGTTGATGCGTTTACTATTACCCCTTCCAGACAACAAACACCCGTAGGAGGCTTCGATACGTGCTATCGGATCTGGATGATTTTATAACCATAGCTAATTAAAAAAAATTAAATCACAAATTGCAAGCTGCCCGCGCGGCAAAATCACTTTGGACTAGGGTAAAACCCGCGTTCACCGAGGAAGTCAGAGCTACGCTATCCCTGCATAACCGACAGCGAGATTCCATTCTTAAAAAAATCAATTTCTGTAAATTTCTGTTAAATTTTCTTGAAGTTGAGTACCTTACTAAGCAATTAAATTATTCCTCAACTTAAGAGACGTCGGTCGTTCCTATCAACTGTGATCTATTAATAGTTCAACACTGTCACAATGGAGTTACTTATTCCATACGGAGAGTGAGAAGCATTCTATGTAAATATGATGAACATGACTAAGGATTGATTACTACGCTATTTTAATATGTAAAAGGATAATTTTATTTATGTAGATAGGGTTGAACAAACTCGCACACCCTGATCTATAACTAGCTTATCTTTATCAATTACCTACTGCCTACCTATAAAAGGGATAAAATGTTTCTATATAGTGTTTTGTTAACAAAATCACATCATTTCAAACTACGCAATATTATATTAACTTGCGCGTTTCTGAATAGGTTTAGGATTTCTATAAATATATAAATGCCTCTGTTTGGTTTCTACCGAGTCTCGTTTCTATAAAGGCTTTGATTTTGAATAACTACAACATTTGCAACTGTTGTGTAGTAATAATAGTGAAATGGTGTGTAAGGAATAATGTTGCTAATCACAAATAAAAACCATGTTTATGGGAAATTAAGATGCAACAGGTGCGTTTTGCGCTGTTGGTTTTAATATAGAATGCATATGAGTCGTAATCGCAATCTGACAATTTTTATATTGATGTGGAGGCGAGCGAGTATTTATTTCACATTAAAATAAAATAAATATTATTACCCAAAAATTCAGTATCCACGTTCAGCCACTTTTTGCGGTGTGTGCGACCCTTTCATACGAGTATGTAGTCGCGGTGCTTTCCAGTCTTTTTCTGTAAATTATACACATTTTAATGTTAAATACATATATATACAAATACATATAATACATAGAATAAACGCATTAAATCATTGAAGATAAAGGCAGTTGCTGTCCGTTGGGTACGCGAAGGCCTCACTCCGCAGTAGTCGACACTCGTCCACTCAGCATTTCAGCAGTCAGTACTAACTCGGCGTTCGACTAGACTAGCCAACTCGGTGCGCGCCAAATAAAATTAAAATAATGTTCGCTTAGGAGTCTTCAAATATAAATAAAGTCCCTAAGTTTGCTTTGATAAAACAGTGTTCTTGTTGAATCGAGATAAACATCCGTAAGTCTTTTTATCTTTTTACCATTATCACTTTTTGTATACACAGAACGTTTGGCAGTCTATATTTTTGTGCGGTTCCATAAATATTTACTTGTATCGCTTGCTGCTCTGATAGATGATAATTAAACAATGTGTAGACTTACGTTTAATGAAAACGCTGAAAATATTAACTTGATTTGCAAGTCTTATTTAGTATAAAGGTAATTAAAATATCCACGCCCTCCAAAGGTTTATACAAAATCATAAACCATTAATAAACCTAATGAGATACTCTTCCCTAAAAAAGGTTTCCACGATATTGTTTCGAGGCGTTACTTCTGTAACAATGTTTGTGTGTTTCTTAACAGAAACATCGTCTATTAATAAGAGCAAACAACGGAAATTTAATGGCATTTTTCACATAAAATTTTAATAGAGAACCTTGAACGACCGGCCGAATAACGAAACGCCGCCACGTTTGACTCTTCTTTTTACTCTTTACTTTCGCAAATGCAGTCGGAATCTTTTTAATAGAAATTCGAAATTTATAATCAAATTTTCAGAGACAGGAACTTTATAATATAAATATACTTGCAGCCCCCGCGAACTTCGTTTCTCCTTAATGTGATTTTACTTAGCCTACCTTTTTAGTACATACCAACATGGAACATTTTAACATATGCTACCCCAGAGACTGTTCGAGTTTCCGGAATGAAAACTTTTTAGGTTTTTCTGTGAATGTTTCTCTCTATAAACCTCAGAGTTCAAGTCATAAGATTTTAATTAACAAATTCAAAATAGGGGTTGATCGTAGAGGCGTGAAAATTAAGGGTTGTATGTATAAATTTTTTATCTAATAAAAATTTAGGGGTGGACCCACCCTTATCATAGGGGTTTGAAAGATAGATAGTAGCCGATTCTCAGACTTACTGAATATGCATAAACAATTTCATAAGAATCGGTCGAGCCGTTTCGGAGGAGTATGGGAACGAACATTGTGACACGAGAATTTTATATATTAGATATCGATCGATAAATAGACTATCCAATGCAAAACAAACATAAATATAGATGCGACATCGTAAAAAAAATAATTATTTACATTTATGAAAGAAAGCATTCGTCGTTCATCGCAGTGGGACATAGTGTAAGTAGAAAAATGCTCTTTAACACAATGCATCAATCAAACGGTCCTTTCTTTGTGGTTCTTTTACGAGTTGTTATTTAAACATCTACATCCGTAGGACACAATGCAACTTCATTTAACTTACATTCAGGTCCAAACTACCTACTTTACATGTATTATACACTCGATCTAACCACCGGAAATATGAAACTTTTATTGTACTTTTTTAAGTTAAGAACACGATACGAAAATCTAAACATTGTAATGCAAAGGAAAGTAATTAGCACTCTGACGTCACGTCACATGACGTCTGAAATTATTTTACTTCATTTGAAAAGCTTTTCGACTCTCAGGTAGTTGATCGAAGAAGAGTAATAACTTCGGGTTTTTGAATAATAAATTCCTACGAATCAAACGAATAGTAGATATATTTGGGGTGCGTTCTTATTGTTATTGGAATAACCTGTGAAGTTCCAAGATAAAAAGATCTACCCGTGTACCGTGTATTGAAACTCCCAAACTGTATGGGCTTTGCACTCAAATCGCATAATATGTATCTGGGCAAAGCCTTTAAGCAAAAAGGGGTTTGTAGTGACACCTACAATCTACGGCTGCAATCAGTGCGATGACATAATAGCCTGAACGCGAATGCAATTATTCCAACCAATCAGGAAATCTACAACTTCCCGACCGTAGCCACAAAGGTCAGCCACGAACTGGCTGGCTGGAGCTCCCTACCATAGTCCAAGTTGGCGGTTACACGCCACTTCGACAAGGCTAAACATTATCTCATCCCAATTTTTGTCTGAGGTTCGTAAAAGCATCAATTATTACGTCTTACCGACAAAAAAAACCCGTAACAGGTCTAACGACACTTTATTCAATATGCCAATAGCAGCACAGCGTGGTCAGATTAGGGTTTAAACCGTCTTCACCCAGACAGGCGGGGTCCTTTATTTCGAACTGCGCTCACTCCAGTGACGTTCCGTCCTGCCCTTCAAGCGATTGACCTCCCCGTGGTGGCTCAATCCGAGGTCCAAGTCACGCAGAAGATGCTCTTGCGGTAGTCGCGGGAAAGCCCATTCCGTGGAGCTACGCTCGCCAAAACAGCCCGAGCTGAGCTGTCAAGGCCTCTCAGGCTAACAGCGAGATCTATTCAAAGATAAAAATAGTCACTAAAGCCTTCTGGCTCGCCAATCAGTGGTTCGACGGATCAAGGGAGGACCCCTTTAGTGATTTCATGTATTGATTGTTTGACCTTATTATATAAATATCGTATAGTATCCTCCGATCGAAACTTTCTTGTTACTAAAGTTCTTATTATAGCAATTCTTGATATAATTAAAATTTAAATGAATGGCAATGGTCGAAGGACCGCAATACTATACTATTTTTTAGCTCTACCGCTCTAAGGTCAATTTCACCTGTCAATCAGACTAACCCTACTTGGGTATAATTGACGTCGTATAAATATTTCACTGAAATTGTGTGACAAAATGACTTCGAACGAAAAATAATGGCATACATACTTCCGGCTTATATAAATAGAAGAAAGTATATTGTTGTGAATACAATTACTATAAAGATAAGATTGTTATCAATATTTCTCTCACTCACTCTTAACCTGTATCTTATGAACCTGAAAACAGACGATATATTAATGCACTAAGTACTTATAGTTTCTAAGTCTAGTCAAATTATACTAAGAATATAATGTATTAATCTCCTATCTTTGAATTAGTACTCTTCTGAGTTATTTTTGATATCCACATTTCAAAAACTCTTCCTTGACTTGATATTAATATTTATGTAGCCCAGTGTTGATTTACGGGTTTCTTTTTTATCTTTCGTCATCTAAGTAGTAGCTGTCAGTCATTATAATACAAAACAAACATTTAGTTAACCGTCAGTTCATTATACGTTTATATTTGAGGGCTTTTTAAAAGTAGATCATTATGGAAATGTGGCCTGAGTTCTAGGCAACAAAATTTTACTTATATCGAAATTGGTAACATTTTCTGCTCTACACTGCTATCAATAAATTTTTTCGTTTATTGAACATTAAAGCGCCGGGGCACGGAATGATGTTTTACTTAATTTTGATAGTAATAAATAATAATAATGGAGTAAAATTTATTTTATTTGTGGTGACCGTATTAATCAAAGGTCATGACACATGTGTTGTGTTACGCGATACCTTCGCACGTGTTGGGACAGTCGTTATATTATATTATTATGATTTATTCTAATTACAGCAATTTGTTATTCAAATTAATTATTGGCTACAGAATTAAAAACATAAATTTAATTAAAATGTCACGTAAATATACTTTTTCTTGGACATTGAAAAACGTAGCAAATATAGCGTCATTTTATAAAAGTCTATTCCACGAGTTACTTAACCTAACCTTTGTTAATTTACATACAATAATTATTATAGTAAATTTGAATTATTACACATTTATTTGGTTTCATTATTAAACGTAAGCTGATAATAAATTAAAATAATATTAATAATTACCTCACGACTCTGCAGTGGTGTATTGAAGGGTGTCCAATGGAATATATACGTAGGTTTCTGTACGTTGTTAGGTAAACAAATTTTCTAAAAAAGAATCTTTACTTGGCTTAGCCCGATAACTTAATACCGTATTATTTGGTCGTAGACACAATAAGCTATTGTTGTAACTGGAATGTGAATGCGACTAGATTAAATTGAACAACAAATAATTCACTGACGTGTACTCTGGATAGTAGCCCGTGACAGCAATTAATGGATACTGTAGGAGCCGTGTATGCTCTCGAATGGCAGATCACAGGAATGTGGGTCAATCTGAGGGGTTTCCGATGAATATCTATCTGAGCTGAAGGAAAACGGACTGTGATGAATTGATATTGCTTACTATCAGCTAATGCCTCGTCCTAATGTTTTATTAAAACTGTCTTGTAACTGACTGACTAATAACTATGATTTGAACAATAATTGTAACCTGTGTACTGATATTACGACATAAAGGTAGTTTGCCGGAAATCTTTAGAAAATGTCCAATGGGAAACTCCTAACCCTTACACTTTTGCTTTTTTCTAGGCTTTACCATAGAGGTAGTGCTACAGAATTTCCGTTTTACAATTAATAAAAATTCATATGTAGATATACCACACTGAAAAGTGATTAAAGCTTTGCTTTATACCTTTCGGAATAATAAATAATTTTCATGATATTGTCATTCATTTCATGTGTTAGTGCTGCCGTAACTAGTGAATTTGTTTATGTATTAAATGAAAAACAGCATAGTGAATGGGAGACGCTGTCAAAACGGTTGGCGCCTCAATGACGAACCACAGATGTTTGAATCTCGTCAACAGTTCATTTGCATATTACATGCGTAAACTTTAATTCGCCAATCCTCTCATATGACAAGGCTAACGTGCAAACATAAATAGAAAAATTAAACGAATTAACATAAACCATACGGCACCTACGATTACATAATATTTATTCATCTGATAAAACGTGGATATTCCTAAAGAAAACAGGCAATGAAAAGCTTCAAAGGTTTTTAAAACGTTGTTCAATAAATAAAATTATATTCATCTCACGGGTAGCAGCTGAATTACTAAATAGGTAACTAGTTATATTACTTACATAAAATAATGTTTTCTTTTAAGAAGGAAACGACAGAGTATCTTTTAGAAAAGAGACCTTCCGTGGCTGACGTTGAATTGCGTTTACTTATTTTTATCTGGTTCCAACTTTATAGCTTCACAATAACATTACTGAAAATCTTATCAATCCTAATCAAAATATCATCACACTAAAATAAATAGTATGTTTGTGTACCGGACTGTAAATGTGTGGTTATTAAATGAAAAGAAAGGGAGATACCACTTTGTGTTTCCTTTTTCTACTGTTTTGTGAACTGTCTAAAGTGGAAGTGGAAATTGAAAAATATTAATAATGTCTCGCATTCAGCTCGCGGCACGTCTTGCGAAGGGTTTCAATAAAAGTGAAATGCCAGAGAACATGTCGGGTTTCCGACTTTTCAATTAAAATAGGTAAAAGCACGAGTATACTTTATGTACTCGTATGCAATACAATGTTTTCGTAAAGTGTATATAAACCGACGAGAGAGATATTTGTCTGCCCTGATTGGTAGTCCAGACAATCTTGTTCTATTAACTACTATTGTTACAGGAATCAGTCAAGGTAAAAATACTGTAAAAGTTAATTAAACAGTTGATTCCGGTAAATTCAAAGTACTTATCTGAAATGGTTTAGTTAAAAGCTATAAGGTTTAGTCTCATTCAAGTATTTCGAGAAACTATTCATTCGTTATACTGAAAGCTTCCCGTTTCATCTGGATTGAATTCACTCCGTAGCAGAGATAAATTTTACCAAATAAATACAGATAAATGTTTTATCTTGTTTTAAAATTTATAATGTAATTGTATGTTAGAAAATCAAACTATGAATTCTTATTCGAATTTAAATCAATATTATGCTTAACATAACACGGGCTGCTCGTCTTATTTATAACTATGTAGTAAAGTTATTTTAAAAGTTCATTGTTCGAACATTTCCTTTTAAGTCACACGTTTGATTTTCACAAAAGCAATATTATGTAAACAAAGTTAGATTCTCGGCACGAAGAACACTGATGAATACAAACGATTCGGATTCAATAGAAGCCACATGACCGCAGCTGCGATATTATAATTAATATCTCGTTATTAAAGCTATAATAACACATTTGAACATTCGTCTATGTCGTGATTAAAAGGCTAAGCATTTAATGTGACTTATCATGTAAATATGTATAAGTATTTCCTATTAATTAACTTTGACAAATTTTGAATAGCGGCAATTAATCTTCGGTTCATTATTTGTTTTTGTTAAAAGCTAGAAGCTGCTTTTGAATAATTTTATTCTTTTCTTTTAGAACCTGAAGGAAACATGGTTTGCACTGTTTCTCTCGAATTATCGTGAAGACATGGAGATGCAGACAATTGATTGAATTAACTCTGAAAAGCGATCGCTTCCCCAATGCTAGGGGCCGAACTCCACCATGTTAGCAGACGATGATTCTCCTAAATACAACTTGAGCTATATAGAGTCTAACGACAGCTACACTGCGCTGGACCACACCAAATTGATATCCTTACTCAAGCTCAATGGGACGAATCAAAGCGACAATATCGGGGAGTTCCTGAGGGTCCTGGAGAACCTCCGTAGCAAGTTCAACATATCCGTAGTGAAGGAATGCGATCGGACACATTATTGCTCGGGAGAATTCCGAGACTTGATTCTGGCCTATAATAGTATACATGGATATGTTAGCCTATTGGTAAGTTTTTGATCCAATAGGAAATATGTATCTGCTAGCTTTCCTAATGATCTGTAGACTCGTAAGGGAATACTAATTTCTGAAATTCGAACATAGTATCGCATAAGCTTTTGCTAAGAAAACCTAAAACCACATTTCAATTTATAAATATATAATAATAGATATAAAAGAGTGAATGCTGTGCTGTCGTCACAACTCAAAATCAAATTGTGTAAGTCAGTCACTTAACACTCGTGCGGTTTCTAAGTGTAAGCTATAAATTAATTCGAGTGAAAGTTAACCCTGCTCTTCCCCAGATATGTCTATTCGGGAGTTTGGCAAATGCATTGAACGTCGCAGTTTTAACGCGACGTGACCTGGCCGGGGCTCCAATTAACCGTCTGCTGAAGTGGTTGGCTGTCGCCGATGTCTTTGTTATGCTTGAATATGTGCCATTCGCTATATATCGATATTTGGTAAGATATTATGTACGTTTCAAAATCTGATAATTTTTCAAGAAAGAGGAGGGTACCGATTTTAAAAAAAATGCTTCAACTGCTCGATGCAGCTGTTCCCAGGTCAAGAAGACCGACCTTACTCCTGGGCCGTCTACATGCTCTTTCACATGCACTTTACTCAAATCCTGCACACAGCCTCGATTCTGCTCACTCTCTCGCTGGCCATCTGGAGATATATTGCCATCAAGTGAGTGTCGGTTAGCTTTTTTAGAATAATAGAAACAAAGGTACGTGTGTCATCACAACATGGTAATAACCATTGAATTAACAATAATACGAGTATAACCAAGTTTGAATTTCATGATTAATTGTCACTGTTCCGCTGTTCCGCTTCAATTATGATTAATATGCGAAACAAGTTCTTACCGCACGAAAAGGTTAATTTAACTTATTTTCTCACTACTGTTAACCGAGGCTGAATCCACTTAAATCAGCTAAATTGCATTAATATCAATTGACATAGGATTAATTGTTGTTATAAATTTATATGAATATATTTATCTTTCTTGTTTATTCAAAGCATTGGTATACACAGGTTTAAAATCACATCATCAACCATTTACGGTGTTTGTTTCCAGATATCCATCTTATGGCTCATCGTTATGCACTGACCGCCGCTGTTCCATCGCAATCGGCGTAAGCTTCTTATTGCCACCGATGTTATGTATTCCGTCATATTTCGTAAGTACGAAACACACTCTTGCATATTATAGTAATATAAGCGTTCTGTTTGTAAAAAGTTCTCATTTATTAACTCGTCTTCGGTCGACACTTAGAATACCTACCCCGTTGCATAGATTGTATCGTGTATTTCTGTTGGACTTAATTGCACAACAATAAAACTCACTTCTCTATGAAATTAAGTTTCTCGTATTACGCGACAGAGATACAAAGTGACCAACTAATTTGCATACGAGCAATTATTCAGCTATTCAGCAGTTGATTCAATTAAGGTTTCACAGCAAATCTTCTTTTATTTTAACAATTTATACCGGTGTGTTCAGCAAATTTGAAGTTATTTGCGCTTAATATCTCACTAACGCAATTTTTTGCAGGAAATAATTAACGCTTGAAGCTCGGTTTATGTGCCAAGGCTGTTCGCTCACACCTTAAATAAATCGATTTCTCAGTGACTACAAGTAGAAGTCATCATTATTTTCTTTGCAGAGTGCAAACATCGAAATGTCATAAATCTCTATCTTCGTTTACAGGTGTTCACTATTCATCAAGACTACGCATTAGACCATCGCCCTTCCAAAGTATACTTCGTAGACTCCAATTACGACGGGCGACTTTATCAGACGAATTTCTGGGTCCACGCTGTCGTGATTAAGCTCCTTCCTTGTGCGATCCTGACAGTGATTAGTGCGTGGCTTATCCGGGTATTGTATAGAGCCAATAACAGAAAGAGGGCTCTGAAGGGATACAATGCGTGCCCGGCCCCGACTGCCGTCAACGGCAACGGTAATGTGTTTACGAGAAAATCCACAAAAAGGTCGAAGGCGGAGCGACGTACAGACAGGACGACAAAAATGCTAGTAGCGGTTCTCCTTCTATTTCTATTGACCGAGTTCCCGCAAGGGATTTTAGGTAAGAGCTAATTAGTTAAGTGCACCCAATAATAGCATCTCGCCGAGGAAATCATTTTCAGAACTATTCATTTTAATTATGTGATAACTCCGGGTATTTGTTAATAATATGATGACACGTCTTGCTTTTAATGGGAGTTAAAGTTACATTAACAAAATTGTAATATGCCTTTACCACAACTATAAAAGTATCTTGAGAATTAGAAAAGGTCCTCCTATTGACACTAAACATTGTTTCAGGACTAATGAGCGGTGCGCTGGGGAGGTGTTTCTTCAAACAGTGTTACGACCTGTTCGGTGAACTCATGGACGCCTTGGCTCTCTTAAACGGAGCGATCAACTTCATATTATACTGCTCTATGTCGAAGCAGTTCAGGACGACTTTTAGACAGATTATGAGGGCTCGGTTCGCCCCCACCCCGAGAGCGAGCTCCCATACTGAGTTGCAAAGCACATATGTATAAATGTTTATTCATGAAAACGGTTGGTTTCATTAAAAAAAATTTATACGTATAATATACGGCGAAAAAGAATTATTTAAAAATTCTGTAAAACTTTTTAAAGTGAAGCCGTTAAACACGCACAAAGGCATCATTTCATTAAAATTTGAGCAAATCTGATCTAACAATTTTTATTCGTATATTAATATATTCAATATTTTAAAATTAATTAATTTTAATTAATATAATTTAAAATTATATAAATTAATTTTTAAGCCCTTCAAGTTCAAAAAGGCTTATAGGCTTTGTTGAACGGCATTTGTAAGTATTTAAGTCTGCGTTAAATTATTATTATTCAAGCTTTTCATAGGCGCCGTAACTAACCTTGTTAACGCGAACAGAGAAAGAATTTAACTATGAAAACTGAACCTATGAAACTTTTGCTTTGTCGCTTTTATTGTCGCCACACGTTTAAGAGAATGGGATTTCTACATTACACGTTTGGAGTGACTTAAAAGGACTGACTATAAAGCCACAATAAAACTAACATAAAATTAATGAAATCATCGGATATGTATTTACATAAAAAACATTAAGTTAGATATAAAATATAATAAGATTTTTGTTTCATGAATGTGTAAATACTTAATGCAACGAGTAAACATACTTATGTGTAAATAATAATAATTAGTAATCATAGAATTAATGTACTGTTTAATATGACTCAATAAATGCTTTAATCACCACGTTGTTTTAAAAAAATCAGTGGGGCTTCAGTCCTTGTTCTCAGATTTGTGCGTGTTTCGTTTAATTTTTTCTTAAAAGGCAAGTAAGTGATTAGCCTTCTTCTGTGCCTAACACATGCCGTCGAATTTTGACTGAACCGCATGCCGGTCTTCCTCACTTTGTAATGCGGACATCGAAATAAAAATCCGTTGATGCACAGGTGAGATTCGAAACTACAACCTCAGGGATGAGAGCCGTACGCATAAACTACTAGACCAACTGCTAACACTATATTATGTTTGCGAAAACAAGTACCTGTTAAGGCTTCAACAGCGCTTAGGGTAATTTTTTTTAACTATCCTTCACTACTCGTTTTCGGAAGAAATTCTTCGAGAATAATCGATCCGAAGTTTCAACCACAACCCCTTTTTTACTACTTACTTCCATTGTTTATAAATGTAGATGTTTAGTATATGATGTTTAGTCAACGTGGTATCTCGAAACTTTAGCTCGAAACGCGTATTCACGCTGAGAGAATGTCATTTTATCGGTCAACAACTAGCAATAATACATAAAGATATAATACGTACGTAAAAGACTTCAAACAGCAATTGGATATAACCTATTTTATAATAATTATTATTGTTAATAATGACTATTTTTAAACGTTCAAATCACGGATGTAAAAGTAGTCGAAGCATCGTAGTTAAAAAATATTAACTCCTTTAACGTAAGTCATAGTTTACTTTATATTCCTTCCAACTAATATGTGTATATTTTTCATCTATAACTATATTATTTGCTAAAAGGAACTACAATTTAACATAATATTGTATATAAAAAAAACAGATTAACATAAATATGCGGTATTTAACATATACTCACTTAACTTATAAAATGCGTAGAAGCAGAAGTCGAATTCATTATAATAGCAGTATAAAGTATATGTCATCAGAACCAGAACATAGTCAAATCGTGACGGAGGGAGAATATGTTTTTAAAAACTATTTTAATTAAATAAAGAACAAAACCCTAGTGCGGTCGATGTTAGACTGACTTTTAATATTCATTACATCCTTAATGCTAAACACCTTATGAGATAAAATAATAGAATCTAAGCATTCTGCGTAGCAGTTGCATTAACGCTTATTGTGCGTTCCGGATATATGTGTGGCAATGTACAGATACCGGGAAACATCTTGAACAAATGTCCTTGTCTGCGCAGAAGCGATTTTTAGGTATCACTGGGAGGGGTGGCGGCGGGAGAGTGACGTGTCAATCGCGTGATTGGTAAATCAGTTGACGTTCTCAAACTTTCCCCCACTCCCTTGTTTAATGCTCAAGAAGTTTGCCGGTATCTGTAACTACATTGTTTCATTGTAAAATATTGACGCCTGCACAGTATTCACAGGCAATGGTCTAATATAAATCAATTACAAATTTATTTTCATATATGAACCCTGTATATAGGATGGTCAAAAAGTCGTAGATCAAACGCATCCCTTGGGGATAGATGAGGTCATCAGCTGCAAAAAATTGTTCTACGAGTCCCTAAGCTCAACCCCTGCGGAGTTATAATTTATTTTGCGTTTTTATAAGAAAATTGACTTTTTTTACTAATTCTTACTAGAATTCGAAAAAAATCTACATCCTGTATCTAATCTGATGAGTCCTTGCGTTAGATATACTATTTATAGTTTTTTATTGAGTGTATTGAAGATAATATTAAGTTGTACGATATAAAAAAATCTCAAATCATAACTTTTTGTTTACTTCGGACCCCACTGTGAAGACCTCCCGTAGAAAATTTTTTTGCAGCCGATGACCTCATCTATCCCCGGGAGAGTGATTTTCCCAATGCTGATTCGCAGAAATCGTTCCCTATGGTGGCGGTTCTTGCATGATGTGGACTGGTATCTCGTTGGAGGGTAAAACCCAGCTCGTTTACGTGCCTGGAGTAAGCCGAAGAGCAGGACTGACAGCTGATGGGTACATCAAAAATATTCTCATGGAACATGTTATGCCCTACGCAGGATTTGTTGACGAAGACTTCATCCTAATGCATGACAATGCTCGATGCCACACAGCGCGCGTTACTCAGCAGTTTCTTCGAGAAGTCGATTTGCGCACAATGGACTGGCCTGCGCTCAGTCATTCTATAATAATAAATAAAATCTAAAAATTATTTTAAATAATTCATCAATCACAATATAATTAACATAATATGTACGTTATAATTATATATTTTAGTTTCATAAACCTGACAAACTCGCTGAGTTGAGAGACATGTTGACAAAGAAAATACCTAATGAAATATATGTTTGTACCAAATGAACATTGCATGAAGACATCTTTTTCTATCTTGATGGCGTCAAAAATTCTAAGTAAATAAATTCCATTATTATAGAATATTTACAAAATGGTTAATTATTGAAAAAATATTTGTTTATTTTAATTAATAAAAAAAGCAGAGTAAAATAATTCAATTCATGAACATAATAAGAAAAAGTTGAATTGTAATAAATACAAGTGATATATTATGATTCTTATTTAATGTAAAATGAAGAACAAGGCTGCGGCTTTTGTAGTTTTTACCTAAACTACAAATTCCATGTGTGTCATTCTTATTTTTTATGACGTAAATTAATTATATATGGAATAATCGTTAAAAATAATGAAAATTACCTATTAAGTCTTTACGATACATATACTTATAACCACCGGGGTTTTTTTTTTTTTTTCTTCAATTGTTTCCTACATTTATAAATTCATAATTGTTAATTTTAATTTTATTCCTTCTATCTCCCTAAGGTATTTATGGAATATCTATAGGTGGAGATTTGAAGTTTGTACTGATTTTATTGTACATTTTGTTAAAATACTGTATATCTTCCTGAAATGTAATAAATATAAATAAAAATACTTAACTAAAAAGTATAATTATTATAATGGTTTTTTTTTCCCATAGGAAAGAGAGAGAAGTCCTGCAGTATTTAGGTTAATTTTTATCAAGTATACTAGATGGCGTTAGATGTTAAGTAAAACGCGATAACGTTAAACGGCAAACACAACATAAGAAGTCTATGCTTGTATATTACGTCTTCGACGAGGTTAGGTTTTTTTTTTTTTTGCACCTAATAGGCCTACCTTCCCCGGCTACTTTATCGCCAGGGGCGTTGTCTAAGCTAAACTTCCTTCCTTTCTTTCATCCATCCTCTAAATAATGTACAACACAACTTTATTTTTTATTAGGATTTTGCACATATCAATACGGTTTCGGTTACACTTTTTATTATCCTACTTATATCTATCTCCTTACTATCTATTTATCTTTACATTTCTATTACAGTCAGTCTTTTATTTACCTACTTATATCTATATCCTTACATTATTTATTTTCTACACATTCCAATCACGAGACGTGGCCCGCGAGGCGGGCGGCTTTCACTTCTCCGTGAGTATCCTCATAATACCCATTAGCAAGTGGGCGCCGGCCGCCTCGCGGTCCCCGCCCCGGCTTTACTCTCATTGAACTTGGATGTTCTTTTTGTAATTTTAAGGCAAAAATCCTCCAGGTGCGATCTGTTACAGGCTAGCATGTCGGGCAGTACCTGGAGACTAAGCGACATGCCTGTCATCTGTTCCAGGTCGCATCTGGAGGAGGCAAAAATGGGGCACTCCATAAGTAGGTGTTGGATGGATTGTTCCACCCCACTCTCACACTCACAGTCTCCTTTTTCCTTCAGCCTGAAACGGCACAGGTATTCAGCAAAAGGCCCGTGCCCTGTGAGGATCTGTGCCATCTCAGGACTGAATCTCCTCTCTCTTATTTGTTTGTGAGCATCTACGATATTTTTCAGGAACAATTTTGTTATTCCCCCTGTTATCCCTTCCTTATATCTTCGGTCCCATTCTTCTATCGTTTTTCTTCTCACTTCTTTCCTGATGTATGAGAGCGGGTACTCTACGTGAGCTGCTTTGACTTTCGAGGTCTCCGCAGCGGCTCTCGCGAGTTCGTCCGCCCTCTCATTCCCCTCCGTGCCGACGTGCGCTTTCACCCAGTGGAGTTTAATGTTCTGGCCCTTTTTAAGGCTCTCCACCAGGTGTCTGCGGATCTCGACTACTCGGGGGTTTCGAGAGCGTCCGCCCGCAATCGCCTCGAGCGAAGACCGCGAGTCGCTGCAGATGTTCACGTCAGTACCCGCTATCATCGCCTCCCTCACTGCACCAACGAGAGCTGCCAGCTCTGCTTGATACACGGTGCAGTAAGGGGCCATCTTTATCTTTTTCCATTTTCG